TAATTTGAGAAGTTTAAAAGTTTATGTTTAAATTTAGGGATAGAAAACAATGTAATTTCAACTTCACTTTAGACAGGCCACTTTCTATCTGATCAACTAACCGATCTGGAACACCACACGTGTTGTGAGAATGCAAGATTTTAAGACAGGGTTACCTGAGCCATTATAAATTGGTATAAATTGTTATAAAAGCATCATTTTTAGCAGGGATCTTTAATGCTATATTATATGCCCCTGTCTTTAGTAATACTCCAAACGTTACAAGGTGTCATCCGTAGCATTCACGGTTGACTTCCTTGACTTGGGGCCCGGCTTTGAGTCGAGGAGGCCATACCAGGCCCCTGGGCATTGCCCTGTCTGCCCTGCGCTAGTTCCATTTGTGCTTCAGATAGAGTAAATGTTTATAATTCTTCTGATACATGTGCCGTATTATTCATTTACCTTCTATAAATCTTATGATGTGTTTGACACCAATTTGCCTTCCATAATCCTTCTGATATTTAAGCAGTGATATTTATTTACATTACATAAACCTTCTGAGGTGTGCACTATATAAATTATTAAATTTCATAAACTTTGTGACATGAGTTCTATAGGTTAACTGCAGTATTATTTATCTTTCATATTCCTTCTGACATATGTGTTATGGTATATATATTTACCTTCCATACAACGTTCAATATGTGTGCTAATACTTGCTTTTTATAGTCCTTTGGACATTTATGTCAGTGGTATTTATTTAATTCTCATAAATCTTCTGAAGGTTGTTATAGTAATTAATAAGGTTGATAGTAATTATTTACCATTCATAAGCTTTCTAATATCTGTGATGTGGTATCACTTACTTTTTCAATCATGTTTTACACATATGCTATAAAATTACTTACTTTCATAAACCTTCTGGTTGTGTGCTGTTTACATTCCATGAAACTTTTAACATGCTTGGTGTTTACCTTCCTCTACACTTGTATCAAATCAAGGTTCTGGCCAAATACCAAATTTCAAAATATTTAATACAAATGTCAAAGTATTAAGTCTATTCTTATTCTGATAATTTAAGATTCCAATATTCCCAGTTGTTTCATATATTTGTGCATCTATTTGTACATGAGTGAAAATTAAAATAGGGTACAAGCCCACAAAAAAACTGACATTCAGTTGTAGTGAGGTGGGTGGGAATGTATTATAAATATAAGTACCCATTTGAAATTAATTTTAATCCTAAAAATGTAAAATTGAAATGAGGTACATTTACCTCTGAAACATAGGAAAAGATCAGCTGAGACAGGTCTATGGTAGAACTCTGATCTCCTGATATCTTCAGAATAACAAAGACATGGAAGAAACAAAACTTGTATAAGCATGATATAAACAATGTTGACTACTCCTTTCAAAAACAGACTTGAGAATTCCTGATTTACAGGTTGAAAATAATTGGAGAGAAAGGAAAAGACACTAAGAACAGACTTAAGTATCAGTATAACATATAAGTTAATGATCCAAGATGACTCCCAAACAGTTCAGATAGGAATTCTTCAAGAACAGAAGAGAGGCACTGAAGGATTGAGAAAACCAACCTTGCTTACATCAATTTCTAGCCTCTCAATAGGGTTGATAGAAATGAGTAGAAATACTGACATCAACAGAAAAGTAAATGAATGAAAGCAAGGCAAAGCTTGTCTCAGAAATCCTCATCAGCTCCTGCTGACACGCTTCACCTCAATGGGAGAATGGGAGAGTAGTGTGAGTGAAAACCTGCACAAACAATAAAGAAAGAAAAGAAGCACCCTCTAGGACAGGTGAAAAGTGGGAGGGGGGGGGATGAAAATCCTGTAACAAAGCATGATGGGCTAAGGTGTCAAAGAAACATTAGAGCCATTAGGTAATAGAAACTAGATCGGTGAGAGCTGCAATTAATTAAAAGGAATAATTTTGTTCTTGACTAAAAGCATCAGGGATATAAGACTAGCAAATTCATAAATAAATACTCTGAAGAAGAAAGTTTTAAAATGAGACAAATTAGAGCATGTAAAGCAGAAATAAAAATTGTTGAAGTAACAGAGCACTTGGAGACCTCCAATAAAAAAACTGATCTGATGGTCAAGAATGTGAGAAGTGAAAAGAGTAGAGAAAGATGACCCCAATGAAAGGTCATTAACATTGAAATGGTTCCTAAAAACCAGGGCAATGACTCAAAACTCATAAAATAAGAAATATAAAGATAATAAGAACTGAATCATCCGACATTACACCTTTGGCATAACAGAAACTAGTTCAAGACAAATAGAGCATAACTGAAGAAAAAAGAGAAACCAAACCAACAGAAGTTTTTTGGAATTAGGACTAGCTGAAAAATCTTGTACTTTGGACAATGAAGGTGGGTAGACCTAAGAAAATATTTTTGGTATCCTTTTTTTCCTCCCTTACAGATAAAAATGGTGGATGATCTGCCACTGGGCATCCTCATATACCCACCAGGGACTTCAGCAAACAAAATCGAATTAATGGTTTGAGCATGCCGTTCAATAACAGCCAATAATACAGCTATAAGATCTCCCTGCAAACTATGACAGTCTATGTGCATAAGGCCTTCCAAGACATTAGTTGCTCTCATGCTATCAACAACCATGCGACTCAAATGTGATTCTTGAATGTCTTTAATGCAATACAGAGCATGCATCAACTTACCCTTACTTCATCACTCTTCCACCTTCCACATTATTTACTGTGTATGTGTCAGATCTGACATAAGGTCTGTGTAATGAAGAAAACTTTATAAAGTTCATTTTGATTTTTAAGTCAACCTTAACTACTGCTCCACTTGTTTCTGTCAATATCAGAAATTTTACACAAAGTGCTTAAAAGAAGTACTGCCCAAGGAAGTTGTGCTGCCCTCTTGCTGGTAGAGAGGCACAGTTTAATCTTGTCTGCATAACAGACCAGCACAGTACACAGTATTACATGCAGGGGTGAGAGCTCTTACAACTGCTTGGGAAATACAGAAAAACTTTTCAGCAATGCCACTAAGTCACTAGCTAACTTTGGAGAGGTGAGAAGCATGATCTAAAGAAAACACTCTCTTTAGATTTTTTAATAATGAGTTATTTAAATTAACAATATAAGCATAACATTAATACAATACTTTAGAGGACCTATAAATTCAGTTTTGTAATACTGAAAATATTTTAGGAATCTGTGACATTATTATGATTGTAATATATATGTTATCATTTTGATATTTTTGCATTTTTACAAATATTGTTTATTAAAAATCATCATTTTTAAAACAATTTGACTTTGCATGTTATCATTTGTAACAAAAAGTTCTTAAGTACTGAAAACAATTTCAAGAATTCTGTAATAAACCTACTCCCCCCAACTTGCATTGGATCATGTCTATCTCTGTCGAATTCAGGCTCTACTTAAATGATTTAACACATAAAAATTAAATCCAATGAAACAAAAATTTCTATTCTATATAATTCAAAACAAATGGGTGAAAAACTGTACACCATTAAGGCAGATGACAAACACTTTACAGTCAAACTGTATCATAATCTTTTTCAAAGTGTCTACCATTATACTTTAAGTTGTTTAGATACCTTTGACTACAACAGACATTTTGTGGCTGATCAGCTGTCCATCAACCAGCCAGTTAAAATGAACATCAGATATTGATTTCAGTTTAGCATAAACATCAAAGTAGACAAGGAAATCTTGGTTTGAGCCTACTAGAACTAGTATTTGCCCCATCACCCCCACCCACTCCCTCCAAACTTTGTATCAACATATTTGAGCAATTTGGCCAATTCAACAACAGAATGGAAGCCAATCCTCATCCGTATGAATAAACCTACAACAAATGGAACAAAACTCTTAGACTTAGAGCTGTTTCTTTGAAACAGCATCAAAGTTATCTTCATCAACAGCCAGAGGTATATCAGTTGTGTAATAATGTTTATAAATCTTCAATTAAAAGTACAATTAATAATAATTAGTATTAATTATGAGTAACAGACAAACCACAAAATGTCTCTATGATTACTCTGCTTTAGATAATTACTTGGATAATATTACTGTTGTGTCGACAAGAGGGAACATTGACAAATAGCAACTTATACTCACTACAGATATGGATGAAGTGGAAAGATATCTATCTTCATAAACTGTATATACATAAATTGACATAAAGGAAAGGAATGGCTATGTGAAAATAAGGAAACATTTGTATATCATGATATTTTGACAAGAAAGTTTCTGAGATCACTTGCCTCCTCCATATATTTATGAAAATCGTTAAGTGAAACTGGGATTAACTACAACAATAAGAAGCTATCTGTTGACTAGGTATAGGAAATGGTTTTATTTTTCATCACTATCTAGCATTAGTCAATTTTAACTGTATGCTACTTTAATTTACATATTTTACATTAAAATCTAGACTACTAGATAAAATACATATAACTTCACAACAGAAATGATAAACAGAAATCTTATGTTGAAGTTACTAAATTAAGGACAAACTTTGTGCTATCATAGAATTGTTTAAACTCGTATCAAAATTACAGAAAGATGAGAGTTAAATTTCCTTTGACAGCACAAAGTTTGTTGTCAATGTGACAATTTAATTTCATAAAGTATTTGTCAAAACTAAAGGCTTAACAAGGTTTTTGTCTTGAAAAATTTTCAAATAACACAGTCAGTTGATTTAGCAAAACACCAAATTAACATTGAACATTTGTTGCACCTCTAACTACCATAATTCGTCTTAGGCATATAATGATCTTTATTCACTTTCCAGAAATCTAACAGGTGCTATGACAGTTACCAATATTTTCTAAATCTTCTGACATACATGATGTGGTAGTTGTTTGCAATCCATAATCCTCCTGACATGTGTGCAATGTTACTTAATTTCCATAACCTTTATATCATGGGGGCTGCAGTATTTAACTATAATTATCAAATTTGTTTTTTTATGTATCATACATTTCACTTACCTTTTACAGCCATCTGATACATGTGCTGGAATTGTGTATTTACAGTCCATAATCATGGTCAAAGTCTCACTGTCATTTGCTTCCAAAAAGGGGGCATGTCCACAAACTAACATGTACAGGATCACTCCCAGACTCCATACATCTAGCATTCAAGTAAACAACAAGAACAAATTAATCATTCTAGCAAAAAAGACAGATCTGGTCCTGTCTCAACAAAACAACAACAACCCATTAATTAAGCTATATAAACTTAGTTTTTCTTGCAGATCACATACTAATTATAAATGTAGCATATTACAGCATTTTTCATTACTTTACTATACATATTATATGTGAATTCAAGTTTGCTGACGAGGAACCCACTTTGAGACTAATAATGGTTGGAGACTGCTTGACTGGGTAATGAAGGAAAACTTTAATATAAGTTTAACATAAGAGCAAATGTACAAGGTTTTGTCATCATCCGGTACAAAGTTTACACTGACACACATATATATGTACAGTATGGAACAAAACCTTGTACATTTGCTGTTATGTTAAACTTATATTAAAGTTTTTCTTCGTTACCCATTCAAGTCATCTCCAACCATTATATTATACATGAGTTATGAATTATAAATGAAAGTTATTTATTCAACAATCTCTGCACACATAAGGTGAATATATGTGACATTTTAGATTTTCAACTAAGAAAAATTTTCATATATTACACAATATCAACACTGATTCATCCTAAACACAAGTAGAAACTTTCAAAGTCTGCATATCAACATCCCTGATAAAAAAAAAAAAGCAAAAATTCTGTGTATTACATGCATGTACATATTACTAAGTTCAGTTTCAACAATCCTCCATGGAAGTGACCATAGAGCAAAAACCTAAGTACGAGCTTCATTTCTATGTAGCCATTTTCTGGCCAATTAACTAAGATGTCTACTTTCTAACTTTACTGTTATTACACTATTGTTCCTAAGTTCACTCTGATAATTGGTGAAAGCTAATAAATGAAAGGTCTATTTATTTTTCTCTATACTTAATTTTATTATATTATTTAATTTCATTAGTGTATATTGGATGATAAAAAAACATTTTAGTGCAAAATCATACACTCAGAGACTCCATCCTGCCTTACAGCCAACTTTAGAAAAAGCTGCAGAAGGTTAATAGTTATTCTGAGATGTGTGATAATTTCCATATTCAATTAAAAAATTGTATCTTGTGATTCAGGGTTATCAGCAGGACTAGCTGATTAGTTGTATTTGGTGACTGATTAATCAACAGCTCCATTAATCAATTGCAGTAGAATAACCTATTAGTGCAATGTTCTTCAAACCATGGTACATACAAGCAAAAGAAAGGTTAGTGACAGGGGCTGCCAGTCAGTTGCCTTCCTCTAGTCAGTAGTTCAAAAAGAAAAAAAAATGTTAAATGCAGGTGATACCAGACATTTGCCTTCCCTTTAGTCAGCAGTTTAAAATTAGTGAAAGTGATTTGCTTTAGTTGCTTTGTCATAATAAAGAAAGGGTAAGCACATTTATTTGGAGGCAATGGGAATCAAATGTTATTTTCCTTATCAAAAAATGTATTTCAGATAAATACTCACCTCTCTACACCAAAAAGATCTATTACTTCATGTCCATGGCCCTGTAATTTCCTGCATATGCTATAAGCCTTGAACAAAGCTCCCAACCCTACATATGTCAAGGCTTATTGATGTTATAGCTCTCCACTAACAGGAGGGTGACATCCCCAAAATGAGAAGAACAGATCAGATGGTCTGAGGAGGGGGTGCCGCACCACATCTGAGCCAGGTATCTCATCATCAGGAACATCAACATGATCAGGAGGACTAGACATGATGGAACATTAAAGGGAGCACATCTGCATGGGAGAGGATAGTTCAGCAATGTGATCTTAAACAGAAATCAGAATCACTCAATCCCACAATGGAAAGTGGGCAAGTGAAGATGTGTCTCATGGTGTGGAGTGGCTGGGGCATGATGGACCGTACTCGGTAAGTCAACTACATCCAAAACCTCACTCGCTGGGTACCGACATCTTCATGAGGGTAAGATGAAGATCATACCATCTTCACCTCAAGTCCCAGAGTCCAGAGGGAATCTAACATTCAACTTGAGGAATTTACAAATTAGCCTAATGCCAGGGATCCAGGAATGTGTCATCAGGAATCCAGGGGAAGTCCATCACATGCAATCAATCCCTATGACCATGAAACCAACCCAAAATGACCCCAGATCGGTAACAACCTCATCACCCAACAAGGGAAAACCAGGACAGAAATGGAGACAGGCCACGTAGAGGAAAGTTGCGACCCACAATACAGAAAACAAGTCAAAAGGGGAAGATGAACAACCAGAAATCTGTGTGAGAACTTATGTGATTGGTTCACTCAATCTCCAAAACCTCACTCGCTGGGTATCAACATCCGCGTGATAGTAGGAGGAGGGCACCCAACTGGAGGGGTGAAATGCATTTCAGCATCTCAACTCCAAAAAATAGTTACTCATCCAGAGGATCTTGTAACTATACTGGCAGAACACCACTGCCCTATTCTGAACTGAATGGTTATAGCCATCTTTGTGGAACTCACCCAGCAGGTTGCCTCCATGGTCAACCACCAAAGCGGCTTGGAACTGGTAAAGACTCCCACACTCCACTGGAAGAAAGTGCAATGGAGAGTCTGGAAGGACTGCAACACCCAAGACAGTGCAATGGATGATCATGAAACCCTATTTTGAAAAGCAGACCACACCAATTTATTCAACCTTAGCATGGCAGGGATGGGCAGCAATCCCCTTCCATAGGTGGTAGAGTCCAGAATGGGCATATTATGATGCAATTATCATGAGGAATTTACACTCTAGTGATCTTGTGAAACACCCCAAGGGTGAGTGTACATAGCCATGGAAAATGTACAAGAATCACCATGGCTTACAGAGCGGATTTGATAGCAAGATGTCTGTGAATGGTCACAGCCATCTAAGTGGAACCCATTCTGCATACAGGCAGAATACCTGGTTAGGCACCACTCATCCAAAGTGAAGCTGAAGTATGGGCCCCTGACAGAAAAGAAAGCATTAGTGAGGACTTACCTCATATCACAGCTGCACCAAAGGAAGCAAAAACAGTGATGTGGTGTAGGTAATGGAAGATGAACGTGTGCAGAGTCATCCACATGCCTGATGATTAAATCTCTTCCAATGGCCGACAAAGATGAGAGGCAAGGGAGAAGGTAAGGTGAGGATTTGATGTGAGGAAACTTGAAAGAGATCATGCTGGGAAGGAGACAAGGAGAAATAGGCCAACTGGATCAAAGGTCAAACACAATTGGTCAGAATAGCCGGGGAAATATCAAGGGAAGAGGCAGAAATGAGGGCCTCGGAGAGAAGCCATGTAGGCAGTATAACAATGGAGGGCATGGACAGGACAGAGGAGTCTATCTGGATCAGGATGAGGGAAGAGATGAGATATAGAGGATAAGCAGATATAGTAAAAACAGTACTGACCTTATCAAGCCGCAGAGGTCTTGGGAAGAAAAGCATGATCTGGATAAAGGATAAGGTAAGAGGAGTTGTACAAGATCCTAATAACGTCATGGGCAAAAATATCCAACCTATGATGCACACAGGACAGGAGAACAAGGAAGGAGAAAATACACCTTCAAAGAGAGGTGAAACAGGAAACACATAGACAGAGGTAAAGTGAGGTCATGAAGAACCACATTAATGTCTCAGTCTGGGAATGATGGACACCTTGGTGGGTGACAGAGCTGAAAGGAATGGATCAATGGGGCAGGGACAGTGGAAGGGGAAATCAAGGAGACCAAAGAACCCCTCACAAAAAGCCATGTGAGAAACTCAGAGATTCAGGCAACCATTGGGTGAGAAGCCTGCAAACCCCGCGTCAATGCCCAGGAGCAATAAATGCTCCATTTTCATTGAGAGACAGCTGAAGAAGATGGGCAAATGGAATGGACTAAATGTGAAGCTACTCTGCAAGAGAAACCAGAACTCCTTGCCAAGGACCTAACAAAAGCCAGGCATGAAGACGGAGGATGGATGGCACAGAATAAAGCATCGGTGACTGAAGTAGATGGAGCAGGATTGATATGGAAGGGAAGAAGAAGGGGAGGGACCACCTGCAGTTGGAGCAATTGAGGAAACCAAGGTTGAGCAGGCCAATAAGGAGCAATCAGAAGGACTGTGCCTGGAGTGGCATGGATAATGAAGACCATCCGATGAAGTAAGCAGATGGGAGGGTAAACTTAGAGGAACAGATGAGACCAATCCTGGCTGAAGACATTGACATCCAAGGCTCAAGGATTGGGGACTAGGGACCAAAACTGAGGTAACTTGTGATTGAAAGTGGTGGCAAAAGCATCAATATGGGTCATACCCAGATGCATACAAAGCCACCAAAAATGGCAGAATGTAGGGACCACTCTGCGGGATAAACTCAATCCAGTCGGGAAAGATGATCGGCTATGAGACTGAAAGTACCCGGTACGTGACACGCCATCAAACGAATGTGATGTGTGGGGGCCCAATAAAGAAGACCATGGTGCAAAAACATAGGGATCTTAACCTGGTGCCACCTTGGTGACTGATGTAAGACACCATGGTAGAATTGTCAGAATGGACCATAACCAGCTGGTGGCTGGCAAGAGAAAGAAATTGATCCAAAACCCAATGAACAGCCAGGAGTTCAAGAACACTGATGTGAAGAGAACTTTCCTCGACAGACCAATGATCTGAAATCTCTTGGTGATCCATCCAGACTCCCCAGCCATGAATGGATGCCTCCATGAACATATTTAAATCTGGCCACTGAGGAAGAAGTGGGACCCGTGCTGACATGTGAGTCCTGTTCACCCACCAATGGAGATTGTCTACAAGGGATGAGAGAAGGGATATAGAAGTATCCAAGGGATCCCAGGCGAGGTTCCATTGATCATGAAGGACCCATTCAAGAAACCACATATGGGCCCTGCCCAGGGATATGAGAAGATTCATGGAGGAACACATTCCCAAAATGGATAGAACCTTGCAAGCTGTAAGTGAGGGAACAGACAGGGCTTTCAGAATGGCCCATTCCATAGAATGGAGCCAGAGAGGAGAAGGG